TTGCTAGAGAGAAGGAGTGTGAGAGAGATAGACAATCACTCAAGTGTGCGGACATTGTTTTGTGACTATAGATCGCGGAAAGGAACTCGGTTTGAAGAGACTTCTTCAATATCGATTTAGTGTTTTAGAAGGCTCGCGAAAATAAGTTGTCCCTTCTTGGTGTTGTTTAATTTTTGTTAACATTTTCATTAATCATTGACTGAACCAAATTGCACATAAAAAAATTGTCTACACTATAATTTATTAAATAATTTCGTATGAAATGTATATAAACATAAGTTAAATATATTAATACTTATATATATGTATAATACTTATATATATGTATATGATGTTCTTAGCATATCCTGAAAATATCCCTAGAATATTACATAGAGGCATTCAACAAGAATTTTGAAATTAAATATTTCTCAAGAAATGTACGAAAGATGATATTCTGTACGCAATATACTCAGAATATCCTCAGAATATTATATATATACATGAGAAGTTTGGGACAAATTTCAAATATACGAAGGATCTACGATATACATATAATAATATGATATTCTGTAAGCGATATACTCAGAATATCCTCAAAATATGAGTAATCCATTATATACCGTTTTTAATATCGTCAGTATATTTTCAGAATGTTGCGTATATATATGGGAGGTTCCGTATAAATTCAGAATATACAGACAATATTATGTGCTATCTGGGTATTGGCAGTTTTGAAAGCAGTGTATATACAAATTATAAGTAAAAGCAGTTTCGACACCTAGGTGTATATAAAAAATATATAGAAAGGCAGTTTTGACACCATGGTGTATATAAAAAATTTTTGTAAAGGCAGTTTTGACGACTGTTGTCAAAACTGCCTTTACAATAATTTTTTTATATACACCATGGTGTCAAAACTGCCTTTCTATATATTTTTCATATATACCTAGGTGTCGAAACTGCCTTTACGTATATTTTTTATATACACTGCTTTCGAAACTGCCAATAGATATATGATGTCGTCGAAACTACCACTTTGTATTTAATTCTATTTAATTTAAAAACTACAAAGAAGTATATGAAACGGCTTATGTATCGTACTTTTTAGGTGCAAACGCACATATGTATATAGGGTACAAAAACTGTCGTCAAAACTGCCTTTGGACATCCTTATATATATATATCAATATCATCCTCAAGGCATTATCAGATAGGAGAGATAATTATTTCTTTGGCTTGCATTTTTACTCGCGGGTTCTCGTGGACCCTTGAGTCAGTCGACGTTGAGTTGTTGCGACTGTCATTAGGCTGATCAAAAATATTGTTAGTGCCTCTATAACATAGTAAAATGCTGTGTATAAACTGTGACCAGTATTTTGCACCAAGTACCTGCGACATGTGCAGTCGCAGGTACTGGTTGCGCGTGGGAAGGCGGCTTGCAGCCTCCCCGTATGAGGAGAAATTTCTGTGGGCTCTGGCGAGAGCTCGGACGCCTCTGCGGAGCCCGCAGGTAGAGGGCCCGCGCGAGGTGGCCAGGAGCGCACAGGAGAACAGCCCTCAGGTGCCGCGGAGCCCGCGCGAGGAGGCGCAATTGCTAGTGATTGTGGACGTGGCTACTGGCAACAGGACGGTTGCCTATTACAATTGACGTGAGTATTTTTTACATAGCTATCCTTCTTTCTTTTTTCTACAATTTTTTAAAATACTCTTTCCTTTTTGTTTGTTGCAGATGGCGACAGATTGCGACGTATTTGCACCAAATATATATATATATATATATATATATATATATATTGTGACGCCGCAGTCCG